TCGGGGAGCCCTGAGCTCCTGCGGCTCCCAGCTCCCTGGAGAAGTGAAAGCGCGGTTCCCACGGGGCGCGCTTTTAAACCCTGGGGGACAGGTCTCTGGAAAGCCCCGTTTTCCTCCCTCGGCGAGGCTGGGAGTTTCCGACTGGGGCTGTACCTTGCGCCTTTTGCCGGGAACCAGGTCCTCCAGCTGGCCCTGGGAGCGGCCAGTTTGGGGTTTCTATTTCTTGCTATTTAGGGGCTCTTTGGTGGCGACAGGATTAAATGGGCAAAATTCTAAATTATAGGCTCTTGCTGAGATCGAATCTATTTTATTTGTGCCAAATGCGGACTTCAAATGGACAAGGGCAGAGGGGTGGGGGGAGCTGGGCTCCGTTGGCAGTCATGCGGCCAATGTAAAGAACCCCAAAGTTTGCTGGAAGGAGAAATGGGGCAAAGAGACGCGAGGGGAGTGGATCTGCGGAGGGGAATTGGGATACTTTCTGAGTAAAAGGAGCCGGGTGGGGGAGGGCGGGGAATAGGGAGCAGCTTGCTGGTCCGTTTAATGCCTGGTTTGTGCACTTTCCTAGCTCCACCAAGGGATCAAAAGAGCCCTTTTCCCCTCTCGTAGGTATTAAAGAATCAAGAACTGACATCCCCCAGAATTACCAGATCAGTGACAAAATAAAGGGGCAGGGGTCACAGTGTAGAAGACAACTGTGGAGGAGATTTATGATGGGCGTCCTCCGGAAGTTCGTGGGGAAATAGAAATTAGGTTATACACTGCCTTGGCCGGTTTGGCTCAGTTGGTTGGAGCATCGTCCAGAGCATCAAAGGGTCGGGGTTCAATTCCGGTTGAGGGCATGTACACAGGTGGTGGGTTTGATACTTGGTCAAGGTGTGTTCAGGAGGCAACCAATGACTCTCTCTCTCTCTCTCTCTCTTTCTCTCTCTCTTTCAAATCAATTTTTAAAAAGAACTATTTATATATATATTTTTTTAAATTAGGTCTATCCCTGTTTTCCTTACACTGCCCACGGGTCTCCTGCAATTTCTCTGTCTGGATCCCTCCTGGTTCTGTCTACTCCTTGCATCACCTGTGACCTGAAGTGAGAGCTAAAGCAAGGAAAGGAAGCCAGGGTGTCCATCATGAACAAGGAGCCTTTATTTCCTGAAATGTATCTATAAGGATCTTGTACCATAAATTGTTATCAGCAAGCAATGCTAGAACTCTAAACTTTGAATAATGACTACAAGTGGCTTTCTGCATATTTTTCCAGTAGATTTCACTAGAAGCTTAAGAATAGGGTTACTCTTTATCCTTTTTCTTTGCTACTTCTTTGGAGAGTTGAAGTTATTGAGGACCTACTATGTGGTCCTCAACTGTGCTATCTGAGGACCAAAAAATTGGAATAGTAAGAAAAACAGCAACCTGAGAAAGATTAGGAAACCTGAAAAGCACCACATCAATGTTGAAATGTCCTAAACAAACATGGAAAAGGACATTTTGTAGGACTAACTTATATGTCTTATTCACATGTGAGATTTTTTCCCTGGTTTCACCTCTGACACATACCCTGGTGTGCTAACAGCAAGTAAGCAGTGTCCTTCTTCCTGAGATGAGAGGATGATGCGGGGTCCAGAGTTTGGCCAGGAAGTACCTTAGTGAGTCCAGGAGGAGCAAGGTGGGGTGTTGGCACATTCCCCTTGACTTCACACCACAGTTTTTCTAGGAAGCAGGTTAGCTTGCTGGCTAAAAGCTGAGTTTCTAGACTCTTCAACCTGACAAACCTGCCTTTGAAACTTGCTTCTTACCAGACACATTATGTACGAGGCAAAAAAGTTTCTTTGGGCTCCAGATTCTTCATCTGAAAAAATATTAATAATTGACATCCTATATAATAAAAGCCTAATATGCTAATTGTCCAGTCGTCTGGTCAGCCATTCAACCAATCGAAGTGTAATATGGTAATGATATGCTAAGGCCGCTCAACTGCTCACAATGACGTGCACTGACCACCAGGGGACAGACTCTCCAACCGCTAGGTTAGCTTGCTGCTGGGGTCCGGCTGATCAGGACTGAGTGAGACAGGCCAGACAGATGCTGGAGCCCTCTGGGGGCCTCTCCCTGGCTGGCCAACATCCCATGTCTCTCCCCAGCCCCAATTGTGCACCAGTGGGGTCCCTCGGCCTGGCCTGCACCCTCTCATAATCTGGGCTGAGGGAACCTTCCCCCCCCCCCAGTGTATGAATTTCATGCACCAGGCCTCTAGTCTACACTAATAAAAGACAAACATGAAAATTGACCATACCTTCACTATGCCTTAAGTCATGCCCACCAGCCAGTCAGAGCGACTATATGCAAATTAACCCAACCAAGATGGTGGCCGGCAGCCATGGAGCTGGAGCAAGCAGGAGGCTTGGTTGCCCCAATGATGGAGGAAGCCAAGCTTCCCGCCTGCCTCGGCCGGCTCTGAGCTCCACTCAAAGCAACAAAGTTTCCATTATAGAAGGTAAATAAACCCCAGATACCTGCTTTCAGCCTACCATGGCCATGGAGCTGGAGCGAGCAGGAGGCTTTGGTTGCCCCTGGCGATGGAGGAAGCCAAGCTTCCCGCCTGCCTCGGCCGGCTCTGAGCTCCACTCAAAGCAACAAAGTTTCCATTATAGAAGGTAAATAAACCCCAGATACCTGCTTTCAGCCTACCATGGCCATGGAGCTGGAGCGAGCAGGAGGCTTTGGTTGCCCCTGGCGATGGAGGAAGCCAAGCTTCCCTCCTGCCCACCCTGGCCGGCTCTGAGCTCCTCTCAAGGCTACGAAGTTTCAATTATAGAAGGTAAATAAATCCCAGAATTAAAAAAAAGAAAAAAGAAAAAAAGGAGAGGCTG